TGACAGGCCTCCACGAAAGGAATTAATTTCTACAACCATAGTCCTCCTCCTCAACCCCTTATCGTGATCGGATATATTCCCTTGTATCTCCAGAACGGAATGCCGGTCCTCACAAAGGGCGATTGGGACGTCTGGAAGAAATATATCCATTAGTGATGTCAAAACTTTAAGAGCGAATATCTCGAAAACGGTTTGTCGGAAGAAAGTACTCTCAAAGGCAAAAAGTTTGAGGAGTGAAAAACAAATGGCTATAATCATAAGTGGTTCAGAAAAATTCATTCCCTGGTTCAAACCACATCATAAGAAATCATATAGCGAAATACAGAAACTGATTTTTATAATACCAACTTTTTAGTTCAATTTCTAACTTGATATTGGAAGGTACTATTATGGCCACTTTTCCGTCCGTCGGTCTGTCCGAGGCCTTAACTATTTTTACAATTGTGAAGATATTTAGTGCGTTGTTTTTTGCCTTCGGTAGCTTATATATCTGCAACATGAGACAAGAAAAATCCTCACGATTAATTTGCGCATGCGCAACTCAGTAAAATCATTTCATTCTTATTTGTAAGAATATTTATGCCTTAACTTAATAACGAGCTCCTAGCGATTTTATGATTTTGGACTTTCTGCCCGTCCGTCCGTTCGTCCATCTGTAACCAAGATCCCGATCGGTTTCGAATTTTCCCAATCTGTTTTCAGTCCTTATCATCACCCAAGGACGAACTAATTAAATGTTCAGTGACCCAGGAGCTCGTTTGCTATTTTTGTAACGTTTATTTTGCGTTGCACACATAGATACACAGTAGCTCATAAGATAAAGACTTAGTAGAGTCGTAGAGACGGACAAACAAGCGGAAAAAGTGGCCACAATAGTGCATCCTTTTTATTTTTGCGAAAATGCGCCAAAACTTTAAGGTTTGAAACCTACCAGACACACTTGACGGGTGGTCTCGACCTGCAGGCTTTACGTGTATGAGGCATCGACATACAGAGATGGACTGAGCGTGCCAATGCTAAGCGAGGATATTTCAGGTGAGAGAGTAGGCAGTGTTTGTCCATGTCGATGATATGATAGAGCCTTGTCCTCTCTCTCACCCGTAGATCTGCGCTTAGCACGGGTACTCGCAGTCCAATCTATACAGGGTGATTCAAAATTGAGGGCAACAATTTAAAGGGCGAACTTACCAGCCAAAACAAGCAATTTTTTTTAAATATAATCGTATGTGTACTCCTAACTTGCTTCGTTTTCTAGATACAGTGTGTAAAAGTTTTTTAAAAAAATCAGTTTTTTATCGATTATGCAAAAAACTTTCAGCCGATTTAAATAAAATTTGGTAGGTTTATTTCTCGTCATCAAGGGCGGACTAGCACGGGGGGGGGGGGGGGGGGGGGGTGGCGATTGCCACCTACCCTGTAGATCATAATGGCCCGTTGGAAATTTATAAGTATGTGCTGTATTTAGTTTCTTGCACTATTAATAAATTATTAACACGTTTCTCTAATTGGGGTTGATGTTAGGTTGTTAAAAAATTCTGTTTTAATTGAAGTGTTTTACAATGAATTTATCATTTTTTGTCGTAGTATTTTGAAAGTGCTGAAATACAATGATAGGCGACGCAACTCGTGTGGATTGTGTATTTTGTTAGGTACTTTTAATTATCAGCTGCAATTTTAAAAAAAACTGTATGGTAATTGATTTTCGAGAAAGGAGTACTTTAAAATGTTTTTGTGGTGCACCTCAGAGCTAACCCCCCCCCCCCTCCACCTTCATTACTACACTAATACTTTAATGGCCCGTAAGTACCCAGTCCGCCCCTGTGTATAACCTTCCTTTTTTACCAAAATTCAACTACACCAAAATTTCTCGGGAAAACACTTTTTCTTATTAATTTGGGTTGGGTGCGTAGGATCCAAATCAATTCGTACTTTTTCGATCAGACTTCTCAATCAAAAGTTATAGACTAGAAACCAATTTCGAAAAAAAATTCAAAGGGCTGTAACTTTTGAACTAGTAGCCCAATCTTGGAACTGTTTGAAATTATGGATTCTACAGGCCACATTCTATAAGAAAAATTTTTTTCCGGGTCGATCTGAGACAATTTTTTTTTCGGGGCTCAAAAAAGGGCCTTTCTTTTTTACCAAAAATCGACTGCACCAAAATTTCTCGGGAAAACACTTTTTCTTATTAACTTTGGTGCGTAGAATCCAAAACAGTTCGTACTTTTTCGTTCAGACTTCTCAATCAAAAGTTATGGACTAGAAACCAATTTCGAAAAAAAATTCAAAGGGTTGTAACTTTTGAACTAGTAGCCCAATCTTGGAACCGTTTGAAATTATGGATTCTACAGGCCACATTCTATAAGAACATTTTTTTTCCGGGGCGATCTGAGACAATTTTTTTTTCGGGGTTCAAAAATTCAAAAATTGACTGCACCAAAATTTCTCGGGAAACACTTTTTTTATTAATTTTGGCGCGTAGAATCCAAATCAATTCGTACTTTTTCGATCAGACTTCTCAATCAAAAGTTATAGACTAGAAAACAATTTCGAAAAAAATTCAAAGAGCTGTAAAAAATTCAAAGGGTTGTAACTTTTGAACTAGTAGCCCAATCTTGGAACCGTTTGAAATTATGGATTCTACAGGCCACATTCTATAAGAACATTTTTTTTCCGGGGCGATCTGAGACAATTTTTTTTTCGGGGTTCAAAAATTCAAAAATTGACTGCACCAAAATTTCTCGGGAAACACTTTTTTTTATTAATTTTGGCGCGTAGAATCCAAATCAATTCGTACTTTTTCGATCAGACTTCTCAATCAAAAGTTATAGACTAGAAAACAATTTCGAAAAAAATTCTTTTTTTTGAACTAGTAGCCCAATCTTGGAACCGTTTGAAATTATGGATTCTACAGGCCACATTCTATAAGAACATTTTTTTTCCGGGGCGATCTGAGACAATTTTCTTTTCGAGGCTCAAAAAAAGGCAGTTATTACCTTTCTTTTTTACCAAAAATCGACTGCACCAAAATTTCTCGGGAAAACACTTTTTCTTATTAATTTGTGTGCGTAGAATCCAAATCAATTCGTACTTTTTCGATCAGACTTCTCAATCAAAAGTTATAGACTAGAAACCAATTTCGAAAAAAAATGGCTGTAACTTTTGAACTAGTAGCCCAGTCTTGGAACTGTTTGAAAGTATGGATTCTACAGGCCACATTCTATAAGAAAAATTTTTTTCCGGGTCGATGTGAGACAATTTCTTTTTCGGGGCTCAAAAAAAGGCAGGGGCGCACTGGCCCGGGGGGCAGGTGGCGATTGCCACCTGGCCTGTAGATCATAATGGCCCGTTGGAAATTTATAAGTATGTGCCGTATTTAGTTTCTTGTACTATTAATAAATTATTAACACATTTCTCTAATATTGGGGTTGATGTTAGGTTGTTAAAAAATTCTGTTTTAATTGAAGTATTTTACAATGAAATTATCATTTTTTGTCGTAGCATGAAAGTGCTGAAATACATTGATAGGCGACGCACCTCGTGGTGGATTGTATATTTTGTTACTTTTAATTATCAGCTGCAATTTAAAAAAAACTGTATGGTAATTTATTTTCGAGAAAGGAGTGCTTTAAAATGTTTTTGTGGTGCACCTCAGAGCTACCCCCCCCCCCCCTTCATTACTACACTAATACTTTAATAGTCCGTAACCTATGCAATTCCACCTGGCCCGCAGTTACCCAGTCCGCCCCTGCTCGTCATAAGGGCCTTCTTTTGGTGGAAATAAATCTCGAGATGCCATCTTCAGCCCCAATAAAAGGAGAGTTCAGCGTTCACTCGAAGCGGAAGCCCCTCCGGTGAGTTGACCCTCCAGCGCAAAAGACGACCAACTTCACCAACTGCCATGCCACCTCTTATGACCGTTCGTGTCGTTTACAATAAAAGGTGAGTTTACAGTACATTGTCGCACCTTAATAATATTGAACTCTGACCAACAATGGGCCATATGAATAAAAGTAAGCAAATGCTTATACTTGCAAAATTCAAAGTAAATACTCGTAAGTGCCCCTTCACACTGGGATGGGCAGCAGCGCTGCACTGCGTCCTGTCCTTCTGCTTAGAAGCGCTGCTAAGTCGCCTAGTACGAAGGAGCACACGAGTATTTACTTTGAATTTTGCAAGTATAAGCATTTGCTTACTTTTATTCATACGGCCCAATATTTCGCTTCCATTTAATTAGCGGCATCCCTCAGTAAAAATAACCTTCATTACATGAATAACTTTTACATCAACCATTTTAGCATATTTACTTTTGAGCTATTTAATTTCTTTCTTGCTAGATATTCGGTAGAGAAATGTCCGAATTATCCGAATTCTTCGGGTGCGAACCGGAAAACTGGTACAAAGAGAAACTGTTGTAGAAGTTTCACTTTATAACCCGTGTATGAAACCCCTAGATTTCACATTTGAGAAACCGTTCGAACATTCCAATTAATTTTACGCGTGTTCCCAATCAGTGAAAATGTGCAGAATCGAATGCGTCACACCGTAACCCGTGGAAAATTCCCCGTATTGGTTTTGTAGCGCCACGTACCTACTTCGCTTAGCAAGGCGCAACCTTAATTTTCGCGGGGAGCTTCTGGGATCGCGGGGACAATTATTAATGTTTGGCAAATCAAATCCTGTTACTAATGACGTTTTTGACAAAATTGACGTGTCCGCATCGTAGAAACGAAATAATAACGCTTCGATTCTCCCACCAAAGATTTATCACAAACAATCAGGGTTGTACTCGAAGAAATTTTCTTCGTGCTAACCGTACGGGAACGCCGCAAACTTGGGGACGCGCCGATGGCGATTTCCGGTGGTTGCGCGGGTAAAAGACGTAGCGATTGGCGCGCGCTTGTAGACTTTCCGCTAGTTTTTCGCGAAATTGCGAACGTGTTAAGGTCGGCCCTGTTTGCTGAAGTCACCCAACCGAACCAATCACGTGATTTGCTTGACCTATTAGTCGGTTTCAGAAATTTTAATACCCACGCTCTTTAGTTGAAGCCGGAATTTTAGTTGGTTTAGTTCGTTTCGAGTAAGCGCCACTAAACACATAGCAAAAATGGAAAAATTTGTGTGCTTTTTAATGTGCCTAGTTGCTTTCGTCAGCACAGGTGAGTGCGAATTTTTCGATTTTCGAAAAAAAAGATTTGCGCGCTTTCTATTTTCGCGAGGCTCGGGAGAGTTGCGACGCGTCGACTTTTAAGGGCGTCGCCTACCTCGCGCGCGATTTTAATTAGAGGTGTTTTGCCCGGTTTTTTTTGTTGTTGAAAAGTTTGAAGAAGTCAAAACTATCTTCCGCGGCTTATTCGAGACCTTTTATGTAACATGTTTTTTTTTTCTCTTCGTGGAACCAGAAAAACGCGAGTACGTTGATCCCCCCAAACTTAGTGGGCCTTAACATTGTAACGCCCGGTAATTTTTGAAACCTTGAAATGTAAAAAAAGCGTTAAAATGCCGACGTCGGCAGATGGCTCGGATATTTTTAGTACGGTTCAAGGATTTCGTTTCGACGGTAAAATTCAAAGGTTACGCTCCAGCGCCGCCTCGCCGTTTTGATTTAAATTTGCGCGACCCCTCGCAACAAAAACGCGCACCCCTGATCAATTGAAATTTGTTTCAGCGTCCGCCCTTAAATGTTACACATGCGAATCGGACAAGTTGGACGGTTGCATTAAAAGTAGCAACCCCAAAGATGTACCCTGCGGAAACCCGGCACCAAATTTCGTTTCAGTTTGTACCTACAAAGTCTTTCATGGTAAGTCCGTCCGTCGGTGTCGCACACCCTTTCTAATCCACACATTGTACAGACACCGCGAAAAACACCGATAAAGTACGTGCAGGCTGTGACCAAATCGCATCGAACCTACCAATGACGAAAGACAACATCCCAGACTGCAAACAACTACAACCAGGCACAGACCTCAAAGAGTGCCGAGTGTGCGACAAAGATTTGTGTAACTCGTCCTCAGTTTTGGGTACAAGCATGGTCAGCTTCTTGTGCCTTCCTTTGATGTACTTAGTCACTAAATTTGTACTGTCCTAAACGTTCTCAATTATTTTTTGAAACATTTTGCTTTTTGTGTGAGTCTTAAAAGCTAAGGAAATTAATATTAATTAGATCCGATATAGTAAATCAAAGTTGTACATTCTAATAAATGATAGGTTTTTTGTTGGTTTTTCTAGTTTAAATAAAAGATTTTTATATTGTTCGCCGACGTAGGGGTGATGTTCACTTTTTAATACCTATACTCTGTAATTACATGTCTTTAAAATAAAAAAAGTTGACGTAAACTGTCTTTTTTAACCCACTCAGGAGTCGCGTGCCTTAATTACCTTTGGGGCCAACTACAATTGCTGGGCACGTGGCCTCTTGACCTCAAGTGTAAATTACAAAATTGCTAGCGCCTACATTACGCTTGCATTAAAGTCAGTTGGCCTTTGCTCGCGTGAAAAACATGAAGAGAATCCTGCTGATCGCCTGCACTTTAATCGCCTCAGGTAATTTCGACAAAGTCTTACATTGGAAATCAAGCGTCAACCTTTAGGGCAAGCCCTCAAGTGCTACCATTGCCAGTCGGAAGTGGAGAACGGGTGCAAGTTGGAAGCGAAACCGCAAGAGACGAACTGCGGAAAACCGGCGAAGGATTACCAAATTGTTTGCGTCTACAAAGCCTTTTACGGTAAGTTCCGATTATTTTTCAATTAAGATTCCGTTGGGCGCGCTGTGTGAGAGATTCAAAAATTTGGACACTTTCGACGTGTTTGTCACTAGCGTGGGATCTCGATTGTAATTTGTCTCATTGCAGACCTACGCAAGTATAAATTTGCAAGGACGCGACGTAAGGATATTTTTCGGTTTCAGGAAACTGTTCCTACTCAAATGGTAATTCGGGAATTTTGATGCTATACTAAAATTGAATAATTCGGGTATAATAAAAAAAATTTGGAGCACAATTTGCCTTAAAATCGCTGGCAACAAGACCAAAGCCGTAGTCTCAATACTAAAGGCGTGAATTAGATGTGATTTTGGGGACTACAGGCATTTTGATCAAAACATGTCAAAATCTTGAATTTTTCTTGTTATTACTGTAACCCAAAACTAGCCGAATTAGGATTCATTTGAAGTAAGCGTCTATATTCCCACATAGCATTCGATATCTTATGTATACACATTTTAAATCCAAAATGTACAGGAAATATCCTGTACATCTTATGTATATACTATGTACATTCATTATGGACATTTTATGTCCCGTATGGAATATACGTTTGGGATGTGATAAGGATGTTTAGGCACACAAAGTATAAAATATATGCATCCAAAATATACCAGGAGTGGTATTACAAATACAGTTCATTTTGCTAAAATCAGGAGTGTTATCCAGCGAGTTATTAATGAGTTTGATTTTCAAATTTTGATAGTGAAAGTAACGAATTTTATTGTTTGAATTTGGTTTGTGCATGACCTAAAGTTATAAAATATGAGCGTGACTTATACAGGGGGAGTACAGTGTTGAATAAAACAATACAAATTTGGTAAGCACATTTTCCAGCTTTATTGCTTTAAATTTTGATGGTGAGTCGTTAAAGTAAGATTAATGAAAATAAAACTAGTTGTTTATCAATAGCATGCAGGATAGCATCCATATTACTTTGTTTCATTGCCAATAAAATTTAAATACATTATGGAAACATATATATTTATTATTTCCATTATATTTTAGGAGACTTCATAAACAGAAAACCACTCAATGAAAAGAATTTATTTATGTATAGATGCTAGGTTCCGAATATTAGAGGAATCTCTATAGAACATTTATTCTGAACGTATACAACATTATATGGAATATCCTATGGAACATCTTTGCATATTATAGGAATATTCATGGTGTATCGCCACTTGTCAGTGTACCAATATACAAACCATGTCTGAAGCATATACTTGAATATACATAAGATATCCGACACGTATATTATAGTAAGTATTATGTGAAGTCTGCCAAACGTATATCCCTTGCACATACGTCGGATATTTACGACATACTTTTCCTTATTCTATGGATATACAGAGTGGCCCAACGAGAAGTATAGAGAGGGCTTTTAGGGTATTAAATTTAGAAATTTCGAAAAATCCTCGAACACGTCAATTTTGTATTCGAGGGGGACAACTTTTGGAATACAAATCACGAACCCAAGTCTTCACCCCTCTACGTAGGGAGCTTAACCCCTAAAATTTTAAATGGAATCCTATGGCAAATGGCACATTATTTGAAAGCCAGTTTAATCGTGATTACTAATCAGCTTTGCTTTTTAAATTCTATTGATTCGTTTCGGAGATATTCGCATTTGAAATGGTTTTTTCTAAAAAAACCAATACAAATGCGATCTGTCACCTTGTATTAAAATTTTTAAATTTTGAAAAAAATAACATAACTTTAAACCCACAACATTTATTTCAATAAATGCTCGAATTGCCTTCCGGAATGGGACAAGTCATCGCCGCCAACTCATCGCGGCCGACTAAGCGCGGCCGGTTCATCGCCGAGCCGTGTCATCGCCGGCCAACTCATCGCCGCCCAACTCATCGCCGAAAGTGTCGGTTTCTTGGTTATTGCATCCACCATGCCATAACCACCCGACAAGGCAACGAAATAAAAGAATGTATGGGCAGTAAGTCTTATCTATTTATTCATTCGGCATTGAAAAGGTTACAACAACAACAATATTTTCACCATTATTAAAGCTTACATTATAACAATCTGATCCACTATGGTAATCAATATTATTAAAACGCAAGACACGAAAAACTTAAAAACTACGAATAATAAGTATGGATATAATGACTTTCTAAAACTGGTAATTATGTGCCAAGCCACGTAAATATTAAATTTTATCTCGGATGTGGTATTGTGATACAATTGATTTTATCCTTTCGTCAGCCATGCGATATTTCCTCAATTTGGGAGGTGCGCTGTTTCCTGCCACTAGTTGTTCATAATATGTATCACGATTTTTCTGGACCTTCCGCAAACCATCAATGAACTTCCACGTTGTTGGATGATGTACTCCCAATTCCGTCTGTATACGGCGATGTGCAGCTTCAACATGATTGTTCGTGCGGTCTTGATCGTTTAATACTCTATCGTACAGATTCCAAGTTTCTGGCGGAAACAAAGGTCGCCGTCTCCCATTGCCACGTCTGTTAAGACGACCCATGTAATTATCCTCGAACCAGTCCAACAGAGGTTGTAATTCTTGAGGTAACTCTTGCCCAAGCTCTTCCACAAATCCGTCGAGATCGTCCAATGGTACGAAGACCAAAGAAATCACCATTTTTGCTTTTAAAGCAAATTCGGCATCGTTGTTATAGAGTGCCACAAATCCCATGTCAGTCAAATGTTTTTTCATATTCTTTGCTAAATGAAAGAAGCAACCTCTTATAGCAGTGTCAGGGAAGCATTCCGAAATTGCAGAAATTGCTGCCGACTCAAAATCGCAGCTGACTGAGTTGGGATGTAAGTTTGGTGATAAGTTCTTTATCGCTTCAAACATTTGCACGTAAGTTGCACGTTGCTTGTTAGGTAAAAGTGCATATAGAATGGGATGCACTCCTCCAAGTTTTTTTGCCATAATGACGTAGACTTGCGCAAACAATCTTGGTGCAATTGAAAAAGTTCCATCGACAAACCATGTTTGTGCCGATTGTAGGTATTGGATCCAAGTCTCTCTACCGAAGATTAAAATTCTGTTGTTGTCGTTACGGCCACTATCATGTAGTAAGAAATTTTCTTCCACTGCACCTTCAGAACGGTATACTTTGTAAGCATCCGGTATCACAAGATCTCCTAAAACAGCAGGATCCAGTGGTGCATTATGAATTTCATTTCTTTTTCGGCGAATTACTTTTCTTAACGCTGCAGTATTGGGAATAGCGGCTTGCCCAGCTTGTGATAAATTTCCTATACACTGGTTGATAACTTGAACCGTGTTTTCAACAGTTGATTCAGCACGACGTTTAATAGTTGTTATCACAGTTGCAACTTCCACACCAACTGACGAAGAGTCGTGAGAATGATCATTTAGTTGCTTTATGACTTCTCCGTTCTGGGTATGCAGTCTTGCTTTGCAGCGACCCATCTGATCACACCGCCAAAATTTGACACCAACGTTGCACTTGCTACGCTTATCAAAAATATACAAATGACCTTCGTAATTAAACTTTTCGCGGCCCCGTTGGCTCACAATTTCCGCTTCCATGACACTATCAAATATGCCTTAATCGCCAAGGAATGAGAATAAACTACCAAACTGTAATTTTGAGAAGGGTTCTTATATCCACTACAACCTAATTAATTTCATCAATACCTCATTAATGTTAGCATGTGATTAATAAAAATGTTGATGTCTTACTTTCTAGTTTCATTAATTATCATTTTGGATCAGAGGGATTTTTCAACTTGGTAATCAACAACCTGATTAGTCTCATCAATAACTCATTCGTATTAGCATGTGATTAAACAAAAATTTTGATGTCATACTTTCTAGTATCATTAATTATCATTGTGTATCAGAGGAATTCTTTAAACTTTGTACTAAATTTTCGATGCTATGTATAATCATTGCCATTATTTAGTTATACGCTTTTATACTGGTTAAGGGATTTTTGTTGTTGATGTAACCTTTTCAATGCCGAATTAATAAATAGATAGGACTTACTGCCCATACATTCTTTTATTTCGTTGCCTTGTCGTGTGGTTATGGCATAGTGGATGCAATAGCCAAGAAACCGACACTTTCGGCGATGAGTTGGGCGGCGATGAGTTGGCCGGCGATGACACGGCTCGGCGATGAACCGGCCGCGCTTAGTCAGCCGCGATGAGTCGGCGGCGATGACTTGTCCTAGACCGTTGCCTTCCGCCTGCTTCCATGTAATAATAAAGATTTGCTTCAAAACGCTGCCGTACATGTTGCAAGATTTCGGGGGTAATCCCTCGAAATTGTTGAGTTATACCATAGTGTATTCTATTCTTACACTATGGTTATACGTGCTCGCAACCCTTGTAATGTTCCGGGCGGAGTAGTATAAACTTTATTCTTTAAATATCCCCACAAGAAGTAATCTAGAGGACTTAAATCAGGGGAAAAAACCATTTCAAATGCGAATATCTCCGAAACGAATCAATAGAATTAAAAAATCAAAGCAGATTAGTAATCACGATTAAATTGGCTTTCAAATAATGTGCCATGTGCCATAGGATTCCATTTAAAATTTTAGGGGTTAAGCTCCCATACGTAGAGGGGTGAAGACTTGGGTTCGTGATTTGTATTCCAAAAGTTGTCCCCCTCGAATACAAAATTGACGTGTTCGAGGATTTTTCGAAATTTCTAAATTTAATACCCTAAAAGCCCTCTCTATACTTCTCGTTGGGCCACTCTGTATAAAATCCCACATAGAATATGCATTTATATAGTTCTGCTATGTGGCTTGAATCATTGAATAAAAAATTTTTTATTCAATGGTTGAATGCAGAAATTAAAACATCCAGCGTTAATGTTATCTTAAAAATTGCCATTGATAAATGTCTCTTCCATAAAAACCATAAGTTATAACAAAAATTAAATGTGATCAAGTTGGCACCCCCACTTTGCCGAAATCAAGTAAAAATATGCCTATAATTTA